TCAGAAACTGGTTTAAACCTGTAACAGAACAGAAGCTCAGTGCACATAAACCAGTTTCAAAATGGCCGAAACCGGTTTGAGATAAACCTGGTTGAATGCAGTATCAGACTTAACTGATTGATCTCAAACTGATTTATGCAATGCCTGTCCCAAACCTCTTCCTGCTTTAAGTTAAACCAAAGTCCCCCAGAATGCTCTCTGGGCTGGGATGTGTTTGCTGGTCCAGCAGAAGAGGGCTGGCCCTCTGCTCCTAGCTGGAGCAGAGACAGAGAGGGGTACGGGTAGGCAGATGCTGGCCCCAGAAGGGAGCAGGGAAGAAGTTTGTTCCTCCCCTCCCTCCTTTGTCCCACCACCACCGACTTGCATTTCTCCACTGGCTGATCCAGTGGTGGAGTCATGGCCAGCCCTTGCAGTAGCCTGGCTAAACTGGTCACGGAGGGGTTTAATTCCCCCCTCCCTGTCCCACCAGCAGGGACCCAAGCCAGAATCAACTGAGCACTGCCCCCTTGTTGCTGCAGCAGCGGGGCTGGGTGCAGCCAGATGCTGACTGGCATGGCCCCCTGAAGCAGAGGGGGCAGGGTGGGGGGGTTATTCCCTTCTCTACACCCACTGCTCCCTGGAGGACTGCAGCTGGATCTGTCCATCCTGACTGCTGATGCCACCGCTCATTTCCTGCTTGGGGCAAGCAGTGGAATAAGCTCCCTCCTGCCCCCTCCACCAGATGCTGGAGGGAGGAGGGAATAATCCCACTCCCTGCCCCCCCCCAGCCTAAGGGGGCCTGTGAGCCAGCCTCTGGCCATGCCCCCACCCAGCCGCTGAAGCAGAGAGGGAGCAGGGCTCCTGATGGGGGCAGCAGCCCCTGTCATGCTGTCCAGGGAGTATGAGCCCCTTGCCAACCAGGGGCTGCGCTGCAGGGTGGGCATTCCCCCGATGGGAATGGGTTTGCACTCTGGGAAACCATGGCAGAGGCTGCTGTTCCCATCATGGTCGCTCCCCCCTTGCTGCTCCAGTGGCTGGGCAGGTGCTGGGCCAGAGGCTGGCCAGCAGGACCCCTTAGGCACAGGGGCAGGGAGGGGAGTTTTTCCCCTCTCTGCCCCTGAGAGACTGCAGTGGGGTCTGCCCACCCCGACCACTGCCACTCGCTCTATGCCCAGGACAAGCAGCGGAATAACACCCCTCCTGCCCCTTCTGCCAGACGCCAGGGGGAAGGGGCACTGGAGGGGGCTTATTGCACCACTTGCCCTGGGCACAGAGTGGGCAGTCAAGATGGGCAGACCCCACTGAGGTCCCCCTCCCTACTCCCTCTGCTTCAGAGGGCCATGTTGGCCAGTGTTTGGCTGCACCCGACCCCCCTGCTGCGGCAGTGAGACGGGAGCATCCGGTAGACCCCGGCTTGGGTCCCTGCCAGTGGGACAGGGAGGGGGGGAATTAAACCCCTTCCTAGCCAGTTCAGTTCAGGCTACTGCCCCAGCTGGCTAGGCCCTGCACAGCTTCCCTGCAGCTGACGGCATGCTCTAGCAGCCACTGGCACCTGTCCTAAGCAACTGCAGCCACGTGCCTGAATTTCCTCAGTTCAGAGGGAATGTCTGTGCACTTGCAAATCAGTTCAATCTAGGAAGATTAGATTAACCTGCAAAGATTGAATCAATTCAGGCTCCAGCTTTTTGAATATCTGTCCCTAGCCCAAGTGTTACACATTATAGATTCTTGGAGCCAGAACTCTTTTGTCCCAGGTCCATTTTGTCCTCATGCCCTATTTTCCAGAAGAAATGTAGTTGACTGTCTGAAGTCATATAGCAGTCAATGAGCTGTTATATCCTGAATGTCACACAACATCACTTTAACTAGGTGGAGCAAAACCCAGACATCACAGGGCACAAGGCATAGAAGGGTCAGGCTTACTCCTGAATGGCCTTGCTTTTTATTAAAGCCCAAATCATTAATTCTGCAAGCTACACACAAGCCAGTTTCTGATCCACTGCATCATGCTCAGTGTGTTCATGAACCTTCAGGTTAGCAACACACCAAAACAGGTAACCTTCCTTTTATATAGATTTCCAAGTGCATATTTCTGAAAATTTTCCTTTATAGTTATTTGAAAATACTCTTTAGTACTTGTATAACTGTTGTGCAGTACAAAGACTGAATCATTGATTTTTTTAGCATAACAAAAATTAAAACATAGAAGGCTGTGTTGATGTTGTAAAGGTCATTATAAGCACATTACATGAGCTCAGACTGCAGGAGAAACTTCTTTAATATCAAATAATCCTCAGTATCTTTCAGGCTTTGAGAAGCTTTGGAATGTATTTTCTAGAATATCCACTCCCACTATTTTAAGAGAACAATATTCCTACATAACACAGCTTTAAATGAAATCATCTAGCTTTCATACCCATCAGTGTTCACATTTAATTCACACTAAAAACAATGTCATTCCGAAATGTACATTATGGAAAAATCTTCCATTATAATTCTATTGCATCTGAATTTGAATAATTCTTGCCAAGCAAATGTCCAGTAAATTGAATATATGCGAAAAGGAGCTGATTAACCTGTTCTTCACTTTCTGAAAATGTGTACAACTCCCACAACTGGGAACAGGTATTGTAAATGAAACAGTTCTTGCCATCTTCAAAAAATCAGAACCCCACAAATTCACATAAAGATTGGATGCTATTGAAGAAAAATGTGTTGTCTTTGGACAATCTTCCAGTGGGTCCTCACTTTGAGGAAGGTTAGAGAAGGTATGCTGGGGAAAATGGAATTTGTAGGCTTCTCACATCAAATATCTGTTGTACTTAAGGCTGGAAAGCTGTGGGCGATCTTTTGAGTGTTAAAAAGTGGCTTCTCGAAGGCCAAAGGCTAATGCTGTGTCTGACCTCATTCCATCAGTAGCATAAGAAATCAAGCGATAAAAGGGAAAAAAAAACTGCCAGGGCTAATGTGATCATATGAATTGTCCTTTTTCTCACTACAGTTGTGTTCTCAGGGCTGCAAGAAAGGCCTGCAGGCATTTGGTTTAGCAGCATCTAAATTTCTGCCTCTCCAAACTACTCCCCCTGCTTCCCTTCTTTGCTAAGGAAAAGAGGAAAAGAAAGTGCAACTCCCCACAAAATGGAGCACGTTCCTAGAGTGCACAGGCCTGTTTGCTCTTTGTATGTTCTACCCTGTTTGCTTGTCACTTGTGATTTTGACTGATAAGTTATAACTGCTGATTCCTAAGGAGATTCTAATGGAGTTTAGCTAGGCCAAAAAAAGCACGTAAGACATATTTATCCCCTTCCTATAGAAGCAGGGTGATAGGCTGTCACACCGGGCAGTATTCTAACTCTCTATCTGAGAAAAAGAGGTTCTATTATCTTATGTTATAGTAATCCTATTGTGTGAGGATTGGTTGAAAAGAATTATATTTTTCTCTGTTGAGTTTATAGTTACACAACCTTTGCCTTCGTAGTGCAGTAGCATTTAACTAAGTTTAATATTTTCTTTGGAAGAGGACCTTCTCTCTATCAAAGCCTAACCAAAGTATCCAAGACAGGCCAGGATATTCCACAAATGCTCCAAAGCATTGTTCAACCTTCCCAAGAGGTCAAGCAACGTCAGCGTAAGAGGAAAGAGTCCTTCCCCGTGTAGAGAACAGCTTCTCACCTTGCACTGCTAAAGGAACAGAACTGCATCTCTAATCCTTTGAATTATATAGTGGAGGCATGTCTCAGAGCCACATGTCTGAGAGGGGGTGACAGGAATATTTCCCCAATGACAGGTGCTCACAGAAGAGATAAGCTACATTGCACTTTGATTCTGCCCCAGAGGCAGCTCCTAATTAATGTTTCTGTCCTGGATACACATAAAGGATGCTTTCTCAGTTGTGCCCTTACTTATAATATTACAGAAAGCTATACAATCATTAGAGAAAGTTTGTTTTTCTTTAAAATCTGTACTTCTTTATCACACAGTGTTAACTATTATTTTAGAGAGCCTTTGGATTATGCCAGCTGTAGGGGAGAACAGTGGAGGATGCTTTAGAAATACAGTCAAGGTAGACAGAACAGGGAGAAGCCAAAGTTAGTATCTGATACTGGATTTTAAATCAGACTCCAGTACCACATCTAAACCAGACCTAATCTGTGGGCCAGACACAGAGACAAATGCAACATCTGTTTGTATCCAGTCAGGCAATACATTTCATCCACAGAAATCCTTGCTTCTGGCATATTTCCTGCAGGGTTCAAATTACAGGGGAGCTTGGGGAGGCTGAGCTCCTCCATAAGAGACCAGAGCTCCCCTATAGGATTTGAAAATGATAAGGGGGGGGGGGGGCATGGTGTGTCTCAGACTCTATTAGGACATCATGATGGGCAGCCCAATTTTTTGTTGCAGACTCCTCACCAAGAGTCAAAGTGTAATTTGAACCCTGCTTCCTGGACATTGCTTCAACAGTGTAATATACAATAAGCATCAAGACTTGCAATTTTATTCCCAATAATCAACCCTAAGAGGTCTTTCAAAGGCAGCTTTGTAAACAGTAATGGGCATCCACTTCAGTTCATAACAATAAGGATATTAAAAAGGATTGACAACAAACCTATCTGCCTATTGTGCAGGGAAGGAAAACTGCTTTGTTCTGCCTCCTCCACCAATGGAGCTGGCAGGACACGTACAGCATTTGCATGTCAGATAAACACGTCATCTATCATGCAGGAAAAAAGGAATAAGCGTAGGGAGAGCTGAATGTCCCAGAAGTGCTTATCTAGCTGGCTAACGACTTACTTTCCCTCAGATCCATAGCTGTTCATGCTGTCCTCAATGGATTCATGGCTGGCTTGACGGACTGTCCGGCTTGGCATTTCAACAGCCAGTCCAGTTTCTGTGCTCCGCTGAATAGCACCTTTCAGTCTCCGGCCATCCCCATCTAAGAACAAGAGAGATAGTAAGGTTAGTCACCTATTGTATGGACACACACAGTAATACAACGGAGTAGCAGAAGTGAGGAGAATCCAGTAGAGCTTTCTCTTTCTGGGAATTAATCTGGAAACCCAGAAGTCACCAAACGGTTCATTTTTTTCATAATCAATTGTATTGTATCTTACTGACACTCATGACAAGCTGCAGGTCTATTTGGGCACTCCAAAGTCTAAGTCTAGTTTGAGCATGTAAATCAGATAGTTGCAAGCATGTGTACACATACCTACAGGACCACACTTGCTGTTTTGCATGAAGTTAACCATTTAGCCCTTTTAATAACTAGGAGTAGAAGTTAGGTGTGAAACTATGGGTGCATGAAAATCTGCTTTGCTGTTTTGAATTGGGAGAAACACCAAGGATCCATACCGCGAGGCCACTCGCAGCAGGGCCAGAAGGGAGAGAAGTGACTAGACAGCACTAGGAATGGTGTGAATGAAAGAGTCCTTCAGACACAGGCCGTGTTAGGACACTACAGCATCTCCAGAATGTCTTCCCAATCCTAGCCACCTGGGTGGGATTTTTTTTTGTAGAAAATCCCACAAGACAAGCTATTTCTCCACTCATGCACCCTTAGCCAGGTTCTGAAAGAAATGATACTTTGATGTCACAGGCACTCCTGGGTTTAGTCTTTAAAGTTTTAGCCCTCTCAAATGAATGGTGACTATTTTCATTCTCCTTTTCAGCAGTCTGTTTCTTAGAATGAATTATGTTATATAATAAATATATAATGAGTACCATTACCATTAATTGCTTCAGCGGATGTTAGAAAGCTACAAATGTCAACCTACATGCAGTGCTTATCCTGAAATATTTACATCAGCTGGAAGTTCTCTGAATGAATTGGAACGTAAGAATATTTTTTAAGATGCCACAAATACATACAAAGGTGTGCTGTTCGTCAACACCCAGGTGACAGCGCTCTGACCCACCAGACTGCATTAGTAATTCTAAGTAACATTTATATGGCAGCAATATACAATGGCCTCTGGCAGGGCAAGGCCTTAGACCCAGAAAGAATTTAACACTTAAGTGGCATTACACCCAGAAGCACCTCCTGCTTATTGAAGGGTACTTCTGGAGAAGAAATAAACTAATTTATCACAGCGTCAGCCCTGGTAGGACCAATTTTAGGACACTTTGAATTCTCAAAATCTAGAAGTGCAGCCAAAGGCCCTCCGAGCTACTTGAGCACGGAGAGCTTGGTCTGTAAGAATCTCAGTTAAGACTTGCACACTATTGTGTTATTTTTTACCAGGCTTGTTGCAAGCAGCATGCTTTTCTCCTGTTTGCTCTATCATAAAGGCCTCCTAAGCTCTCTCTGAAATTACCACCAGTACTTTCCTTTCTATGTCCTTGTGACAAGATATGTAGCAGAATTTGCAGATTTTATTGGAATCTGATCGGCTGTACCATGAGTGTTTCTGCTATGGCCTACCACCAATACTGAAGTAGTAGAGGACAGCATCTCTCATTAACTTAGCTACAAAGCCCCGTTCCCTGTGGTATCATGAGTGTTCCAACTTCATGATGATTTAGGCCCAAAGGCATTCTGTACCAGCTGCTGCGTACATATATGGTACACTGCGTGCACGTCCCTCTGGGCTAACAGGATAGAGTTTGCATGTTTTAGGTTAAAATTAAATACAGTTGGTACTGTTTGTGTGCCTCGAGCAATGTGACAGGCACATCATATAAATCAGGAAGTTAAACAAACATTAAAAAAACCAACTCTGCTATCCAAGTCAAAAGCTTCAGGCAGGACAAATATTAATAGATGCATCAATGAAGGGAAAGTCCAGTGAGATGGTCTCATTTAGTCCCTGGAAAATACAAAAATTCTCTCAGTGGCATATTTTCTGGTATTTTGTCCAGCCTTGCCTAGATGTCCCAAATGAGTATGCTTCCTCAGTTCACCTTAAGAAACTCCCAAGCGAACCTTTCTTGCACTCCTTCACAGTGTAGATGTTCCATTCAACTTCCCCTTTCGCTGAATCTTTCCCCCATAATTATACATTTTTGTACCTCTCTCAACAAGTCCCAGCCCTTCTTGTTGTGCACACTTTCCAAATATTAAGTTCCTTCATAAATCAACCCCACGTCAAAAATAATAAATCAGCCTTAAAAACATTCACGCGCTAGACCATGTAACATCTGCTCTCAAAAATCACTGGATTTGCCCACTTTAATTAGAGATGGCTGGGGAATGAAATGCCAAATTGCCATGGAGGTCTTGCTGACAACAGATTAAGAGGGGTTTGGAGTAGGGTAAGGCATTCAGCTTCCCCAGGGCACCTGACACAGTACACTGTTTGTATCACATGTATTCTGATCTAATGCTAGGGGTTTTTTGTAGAAGAAGGCAAAACAAAATACAGGTAACATGGACA